TGAAATGGCCCTGAAATTGCATGTCTCCCATGAAACAATATGTAAACATCTAAAGAATATGGGAAAACTCCATATAGATGGTGTTTAGGTGCCTCACGAAATCTCTGATGATCATCGTTTCCAACGTGTGAACGTTGCTTTATCTCTTCTGGTGTGTTATGCGTGTGAATTATTTTAGGACAGAATTGTCACCGGTGATGAAAAATGGATTCTCTATGCGAATATTAAATGCCAAAAACAATGTCTCAGTCCTTGACAAAAACCACTTCTGACCCAAAAACCTGGACTCCATCCACAGAAAGTGCTGCCTTACATTTGGTGGGACATACAGGAATAATTCATTTCAAACTCCTCAATCCACAGCTTACTGTCAATGCAGAGATCTATAGTCAGCAATTGGAACGTTTAAATCAAACCCTTCATCAGAAATGGCCTTCACACGTCAATCAAAAAGGTGTTCTTCTTCTCCATGATGATGCACGTCCACATGTGGCACATATGACACAAGATTATGGAGTTGGGTTGAGAAGTTCTCCCCCACCCACCATATTCTCCAGATATGGCACCGTCAGATTACCATCTTTTTTTTGTTTGCTGCAACACCATTTTAATGGGAAAACGTATGCAAATGTGGAAGGTGATAGAGAGGACATCAACATGTTTTTGTTTCAAAGCCAAGGGATTTCTTTAATCAGGGCATGAACAACCTGATTGTAAGATGGAAAAGCATCATCAATAATAATAATAGAGACTATTTCATTTAATAAATGTTTTGTTTTGATATACAAGTTATTCAGGTTTTTTCATCTAAAAAAAATGACATTAATTTCTTGATGACCTAATACTTGTGCTTAAAATGATATTACTTGTTTTTGATTAATGGCAAAAGAGATAGAATTAACCTAATTAAAAAAAATTGTACTTGTTCTCTATTCATAAGATTTAATGTGTTGAAGCCTTTACTGGTCATTGAGAAATACCAGGTAAAGAATTGATTTATTGTAAAGTTTTGTTAATTAAATTAATCTTTTTACAAAAAGATTTTACATCTTTATTACCAAATGTTTTTATAATTGTTACAAAAGGGGAGAGAACATAGAACTATATGAAGTGGTACACGAGTAGTAAGATTATTCTTAGACTAACACTAGAAAGTGTAGAAGGTATTGAATAGACATGTACATACTTGTTTTGTGTTCAATTGCAAGAGAGAGGAGTTGTTTGGGAAGAAACCATCATTTTATTACCAGACACAGTTCATTTTGTATTTCTGTCTGCAACTATTCCAAATGCAATCCAGTTTGCCGAGTGGATCTGCCATTTACATAATCAGGTATTTGTTTTTAAATTGACTTTTAATGTTTCTTTTGTTACTAATTACTATTGTTGATCTTTGAGTTCATTGAAAGGATTTCTGAAATGGGCCATCCATTATTTTGATTTCTGTAAATGTGCAGGCATTTGAATTATTATACATGTTGTTCCATGCTACTGATAGGTTTGAATCTAATTTGAGTAACCAACCATTTACTCCTTATTGCTGGATTTTACGATTATATCTTTGCTGTGATCACATGAGAATGTAAACTGTACATCAAATTATGGTTCTATCTTTAGCCTTGCCATGTGGTTTATACAGAATACAGACCTGTTCCTTTACAACATTATATTTTTCCATCTGGTGGAGATGGGCTACACATGGTTGTGGATGAAAATGTAAGTGTTAGATCATTTTTAATTTATTAATGACGTGGGATATGTAAGTTCACTGTGGATGGGTTAACACATTTTGTAATATTTTTGATATCAGTGATAAAGAAAAACTATTGGTGGTAATCAGTCGTTTGGATACTTATTGTTCTTTATGATATGGTTAATATTTGTTTTAGTTCATAATTTTCTTTTTCAGTAATGAAGGCCAATGTGCTGATTTTGGTTAATATAATATTAATCAGTTGTTTTGTAAACACAAAATGATAATATGGTAAAAGTTTTGTTGCTAAAAGATTTAAGATATTCTGGAAACTTTTGTTTACATTTGGTTTATGTAAATATTTTAACAGGGTACTTTCAAAGAAGAAAACTTTAACACTGCAATGTCAGTGTTACAGAATGTTGGAGATGCTGCAAAGGGAGATCAGGGAATGAAAGGAAGAAAAGGTGGATTCAAAGGTGTGTATTAGGGTTCAGAGTTGAAATCATATTTTATATAGTTTTATTCATTATCTTTTGTGTTGTGCATTTGTTTTCTTTTTTTCATCCTAAGAATATTATATTGAAAGATAAAAAAATCTGTATAGTAGTTCATTATCACATTTGAAATTTAAGAAATTAAGCTAATTAAAAAAACTTATAAAACAACTTGAAATTTTTATATATATATTCATTTTTCCAATCTCTTTATTTTGATTGTTTCATTGAGCAAACAAATTCATATGTGCTTATAATTTTATAGTGTGCTCAAAAGTTTTTCCCTGTCTCTAATACACTATGCTTAAATTAATTATAACCAAACGTGTTTTTTAAGCCAAATAACTTGATGTAAAAAGTTGAGAACCCAAATATTGTAATTCTTTTACATTTTTCTGTATTATTTTTGTAGGAGAATCCAACTGTTACAAGATTGTGAAAATGATAATGGAAAGAAACTTTGCACCTGTAATTGTGTTCAGTTTTAGCAAAAAAGAATGTGAAGCATATGCTCTACAAATGTCAAAGTTGGATTTAAACACAAGTGAGTAATGTTTGAGTTCTGTGCTTAGAATAAGTTCAACTTCATCAATAAATCTGTGTGTGAAGTATATGTTTAATAAGATTCAAAGAGAAATATTATATTTAAATGAAATAACCTGAAACAGATGTCGTAATTGGTGGTTGCAGTAAATGATTAATATTGACCATACTGTCATAGCCAAGGGTGATCATCATCACTTGTTTATAACATCCAGTCAAATTTTTGTGTAAATCTTTTAATCCATTAACCCTAAGTGCATAGGGTCAGCCCATTGGACTAAGTCAGTACTGGAAAATTAATGTTTTCTGTAATTCTGAATTTATTTATTGTATCTTCATGAATTTTGGCAAGCATTTAGTAAACATTACAAGTATGTTGTCCACAAAAACTTGGAATTTTTAATAAAATATTTGTACAAAAGATTGGTCTCTGAATTTAAGCCAGTCTGAGTGCAAGGTAATGTTAGGAATAATAATACTTTATCTTACATTTTCAAATTTTATTTGCATAACTTCTAGATCTTTCTAAATGAATATCAAAAGAGTTTTTTTTTAAAACAAACATTTTGTGTTATTTTCTCTATCCTAACACTATGGGCTCAGTTCATTTGACTGATGTTTTAACCATCACAAAAAATATGAAATAAATCTAAATTATACCCTGTCTTCTTTCTAAAATGAATGCAGATTGTAACACAAAATTACAGTTATTTATCCTAAATAGCCTCAGTTTCATAACAGTTTACATCTGCTTTTGTTTAGTTTTATTGTGTTATTGCTCTTTGAATATCTGTCTACCATGAAGAGCAATATATCACCCAGTGAGGGTTAAGGGTAAACAAAATTACAGGTTACATCATGTGACATTTAATTACATATATTCTTCATGTATCACTTTTTTGTTTTCATTTAAGTTGTTGTTTTTTATATAACCTAAAGATTTTAAGTTTTACATTTTAGTTACTTTTACTTAAAAATATGTATCAATGAATAAAAAATGTACATGAAAAGTAAATTTAGCACTTATTTCAGGATTGTGGTCTTTTATTATTGAAAGCTAGTCTTCACTAACCCTAAATTTTTTCTCACTAATTTGCATTTTAAAACACACACAATAATTAAACAGAAAAACAAAATGCACCAGAACTACCAAAATTAACCTGGCTTCACTCAATGAAAACTGCTTAGAAAGTGGTGCCTTTACACAAAGACATTGTAATCGTTTACTTCAAAAAAAATGCCCTTTCTTTTGGTTATAAACAAGTAAGTCATGAGATGGGGATTTTAAATGCTCATCCAAATGAGTAGAAAGTTGTCTGTTTGCCTCACCAATATAACAGCTTTTTCATTCCGTAAATTCAGTTGCATACGCATTTCCTGAAGTATCATTATTCATATACTATTTGGAGAGCAGTTGACCTAGCTTTTATCCAGGTAAAAATGTAAACCATACCTTAACATCAATTTTATACTCTGTGTCTGTTTTTAACCAAATTTTTTTGATAGGATAAGATAAATTTGAGATGAATAGTAAAAAACAAGTAACAGGGAAATATTCAGAAGAATCATTTTCTATGTCAATTTTTGGCTTATTTTTAAAAGAGGCAATTACTTTATTGACAAGAGTGGGAAATTGTTTAGTTCACAAAACTGAAATCTAAGGGTTTCTTATTTCAAACAATCAATGATGGAACTTACGATTTTATTTACACAAATAACACCTTTTAATATACCTAGCTTTTAAAATTGTTTATGAAGGGAATTCCAAGGAACGTAAAGTCCACTGTGAGTGTTCTTACAAAATACAAAGGTTTGGAACCTTGTGTTTGTCTTTTTAATAACATTTAGAAATGACAGTTTGTCATTAATTTCTTTTTTCATTGTAAATTTTATGTTTGGATGAGAGAGAAATTCCTGAATAACCTTAAAGTTATCAAAGGCTAAAAATTACATAAACATATCGAAACCCAAAAATTGGTTTATAAAATGAACTTGAGATGGCAGTGTCTTCAATTACTGAAGCTACAGTATTTCCCATACTTAGGCCCTTGGTTTGGATATAATTCATACCTTCAAATTGGAAAGTAGAAAATTTGGCAGCAAGGAGAAACAATTTTCTTATAGTATACATGTTTAGGTGAAAACAAGGATTAGAATCGTTTTGGTAACATTCCAGGGCAGCATTTATCACTTCAGGGATGAGATTAGAGGGTAAAACATTTTTTTTTACATCAAATATGACTAATTGAACAAAGTGACTAAATATTCAGAGTTTTTTGATAAACATTTCAGAATTTTTCATGAAGGGGAAAGCATGAGAAACATATTTCGAAAACATCCAAGTAAGGAATTTTCCTACATTTTAATTGTAAGCTTTGTATGTCGAAACAATGGGACATAAGGGGAAATCAGGTTTGTGAGTTTTGGGGAGATCATAAATTTGAGAAGTACAGGGATGAAGAAATTGATATAAACCAGTAGAAAGTTGAGAAGTTCTTTCTAATTTTAAAAGAAATTGTTTTAATTCCTTTTCTTTGGAAGGGGTTTAGTTAGTTTCCATTTTTTGGAAATATTATGAACCATTGAGGAGTGCGTGTGCATATTTTACTTGTTTAAAATCCGTTCCATGATAACAACAGCATTACCTTTTGTCAGATTTCAGTAAAATAATAGTTTTAGTGCTTTATGTTCTTTTTGAAAAAGGTTTGATTTTAGCAGTCTAGGTTTGTCCAGGTGAAATACATAAACGATAAGCATAAAGAATGGGTAAAATTTGAATATTTTCTTGAATTTTGGGAAAAGACATAATGGGTAACTATAGGTTTTGGGAGAGAGTGCTTTGGTTATTAATGAACGATCTTGGTTATTCGTACTTTCATGAATTTGTAACATGAGTTTTTGAATTTGAAACAACATGAGAAGAGGTGGGTATATTTAATGAACTAGCACATTCATGAATAGCTATTTTTCTAGGAAAGTCCCCTAATCCTGTCTGGAATTCAAATGTAGGGAAAATTTCTGGGTGTAATAGAATAATTGAAACCTTTTTTAAGAATTGAATTTGATCAGTGAGTATCTGGCAGCTTGATAGGTTAAGAACAACTTGTTTTTTTACAAGTTGGTGGAAGTGAATTAGGCTTATTCAGTTGAAGATCTGGATATTTGTTTTTTGTGTCCTTTACAGTCTTTCAAATTTCTTAGAATGCCTGTCAGTTACTCTTTTTTTCATGATTGATGACATTATTACTAATAAGTTGAGAAACTTTCATAATTGTTTTTAATTTTAATGTTGCTGGCAAATAACTGTTTAACTTTGATAACAGTCTGTAATTTTTAAGGATGTGTTCATGAAGGAGCTTGTACTGCACTGTTCTTATTATTTTGGCAGGTTGGGAATTAAAACTTTAATTTGCATTGAAGAAAATTAGGAATATGTGATGATCTCGACACTTTTTAATAATTCTTGTATATATAACAAATTTCCATACTTACTACTCAGGCTAAAAGTTTTATTTATTATACCTAAATTTTATAGTTCTTTGATAAATTACTTTAAATGTTGCAATTGCTCTGTCATATGGTTGTAGATTACTATTGGTTATAGCATATCACGTTTTAAAAAAAGTTAGGTTCTGTTAACCTCAGTTCTTGTATCCCACCTGATGATACCAGGTAAACGTAAGGACACATTCTGTGTAAAAATAAAATAAAACCTGGGGAAATGTTGTGTATAAAAATAAACAAAAGGTTTGCTAAGTACAACCAATAAAAACGTGTGAATTTTAAAAACATTGTTGTTTCTAATATTTAGCTCGTAGTCAAACAACACATGAACACTATTTTGCTGTCCAACTTGAAGCCAGGAATTTGTTATATAATATTCTTTCCTGAAATTTTGAAATTTGTCAAGTGTCTCAAATCTAATTTTACTAATGTTAGCAAATAAATTTACATGTATTAGTGATACTTCCAGCTGTAGTTTGTAAGATTTCATTCATGAAAGTGATTAACTTAAAAACCTTATAAAAGATTTAAGTTTTAATTTATTGGTCATTAGCTGAAAATATGCATCAAACAATGATCCAATTCAGAGAATATAGACTAAACACTTGGTTATTAAGCAGGAAATGTGGAAGAACACTGATAAAAGTGAATATGTTTAATTTCTGTTTCAGAACACTGTTTTTATGAGTGTATAATGTTAAGTGTCTTATTTTTTAACGTAATGTAATTAAAAATAAAAGAAGTGAATCATTTACACTTTATTTATGAATCCTCTATGGGCAAAGGAGTTCTTTGGCAACTTCTATTAATGTATGTACAGTTATTCCTTCATTCAAGTTATGACTCTGCTAATGGAATTTTATTTTATTTTTTGTTAAGATGTGTAAATATAACAAAAATTGTATTACTGTAAAATAAGATGTCTTGTTTGTTAAGCAAAATAATGTGATGTTCTATTTGTAATTTTTATAAGATGAAGAAAAAAATCTTGTTGTTGAAGTCTTCAATAATGCTATGGATGTGTTGTCAGAAGAAGACAAAAAACTTCCTCAGGTTAGTTTAAAATTTATAGGTAATTTTGTATTAAAATATGGTGTGTGTATAGATACATGCTGTTTATTCTTTTAATACAGTTATATTTTCTTTTCTTCTGTGCCAAAGTAAAAAAAAAAAATAACTTGTCCTTATTTTTATTTATTACTTGCTTGTCTTTGTTTGGATAGATGAATCAGTATTTTATTTCCATAGATTGTACAAGTTAAAATATGTTTACATTTGATTACAACATATATGATTTTAATGAATTTTAAATTAGGTTGAACATGTTCTGCCACTTTTGAAACGAGGAATTGGGATTCATCATTCAGGTTTGTTGCCAATATTAAAAGAAACAATAGAAATTCTCTTCTCCGAAGGTTTGATTAAGGTGAGAAAGACTTGTTTTCATAAGTTTTCAAAACATGACAAATGATTGTATTGTGTATACTGTTTTAAATGTTTAAGCATGTTGTACCAATTGAGAAAGAAAACAGGAAACAGATGTAACTAATTTGCTTTTAAATTAGTTACAGAAATGTTAAATACATGTTAGTATTCGTATGTTTTAATCCTTTCTACACAGATCAAAGGCTGTGTCATCACATTTGTTGACTTACATTCAAAATTTTATCACACTACTATTTTATGGATTTATGTCAATAAATTTGGTATCAAATTTTAGTACTATACATTACTCAATTTCTTAATTTAAAAGTAAATATTAAAAAACACAGATAAACATTGATTTTTGTGTGTCACATGGTATGTTGAATGCAGCACTGTTGCAAATTAGATGTTTGTGATGTAAAAATACTAAGTCTATAGTTTCATACAAATTAGGAACCCAAATGACCAATATTAATAAGCTAGAATATAAAATAAGAACCTCCTATCTTTTCTGTTTGCTGATATATCACTCGTGTAACGAATCAAACACAGTAGTCCCGCTCACCTCTTTCCATTTTTGGAAACACTCCCTTATATACACTTCTGTCTATGGCATGTGAATAACAAATCGAAAGCTCAGAATGTCCCCTAGTGGCTTTCTCAGCCATTTTCAAGTATTACAACATCATCTCTTTCTTTTGATACAAATTTTCAAGCTGGTAAGGTGAGCCTTTTGTCTACTCTAAATTTCACATTTTTTAGACCCAAATACAACTTAATTACTAAGCTTGATAAATTATAGTGGAATTCTATGGTATCATTATAGTAATTTATAATTTTTGTGGTTATTCAACTGTACATATAAAACCTAAAAAAATTATTTCATTTCATATCCTCCAAGTGCAAAATTTTAAAAGGCTTAGCAACTTATGTCAAGCAGCAACCAAGTACAAAGGTCATAAGTAGAAGAGATAATTGTTTGCTTTGCTTCTTTATTTAATGTTCTATTTTTAAAGAAAAATAAGTTTAAGAACTTATTTCTAAATAGTAATAATTTATACATATATATAATGTATAACAATTGAAATGTGTAATTTCACAGTCCTTTTATGTGAAAATTCTTTCATAATTCTAACTATAATAGATAATATTCTTTCTTATAAGGTAGGTTATGATTAAAATTCTTATATCAACCATTGGTATAATTTATTTTTTAATAAAAAAACTTTCATCTCATTGCTTAATGCTACTTACGTATAAATATTCCTGTTATCTATAGACCGGAATCTGAACTTTTGTACAAGTAAAGAATTGTAACATTAACAGTACCACTTTATATATGTATTTTATTTTTTATTATACAAAGTTAAAAAAAGAAAGATTATTCGATGAAAAAAAGCATGATACTAAAACAGTTTTTATTATTGTTTATCAAAGAAATTGAGTATGGTATAACTTAAACTGCATACAATTTTTATAAGCCTAATTGATCAGTATATTGAATTTTTGTCTATATTTTTCTTATTTAGGCATTATTTGCAACAGAGACATTTGCGATGGGATTAAATATGCCTGCAAGAACAGTTCTTTTTACAAATGCTCGGAAGTTTGATGGGCAAGATTTCAGATGGGTATGTCCTGTCGATCTTAAAAAATATTCATTCTCCACTTTTATTTTGCATCAAAAATCATTTTTAGCTGAACAACACATTAAGAAAAATAGTGTTTTGGTGAATGTGAATTTAAAGAAAAGTTTTTCTGAGCCTTTAAACATTGTCCTTTAATATTTTTTGGAAATTTGGATTCAACCACAATGAGTCTTACTTTGTAACATGACATACCACTATAATTTGTGACAGGTAAACAGTTGCAACAGATTTTAGAAGATGATGTACGTAAATAAAGTTCTAGATCTTTATACAGCCCAGAAATTTTAATGTTATAAATATATTAAGAAAGTATACTTCTAAAATTTTATCTTGCCCAAATTTTTCAGGTAACATCAGGAGAATATATACAGATGAGTGGACGTGCTGGTCGACGAGGATTGGATGAACGAGGAATAGTTATTTTGATGGTTGATGAGAAGATGAGCCCCTCTGTTGGGAAAGATATTGTAAAGGTTCGTCATTATATAGTTTTCTCCTTCCAAGTTGGCCAATTAGGCTAATAACAGAAGTTTGTAGAATTAACTCTCTCAACACAGACTTGGTCTATTAGACTGACCACGTGACCTCTTTGTATTTGCTTAAAGTGTTTATAGATTTGATACTACTAACTTTTAATATATTTTGTATATCTTAACAAAATTTGACAGTATTTCAGTAAACATTACAAGTCTTTTACATACAAAAAGTTGTATTTTCTAGTGAAGTATTTAAAATAAACTAAAAAAAGATTTGTCCATGAATAGTCTGGGTGTAAAGTGATCTTCATGTTAAGATTAAAAATACTTTTCTTCATCTCAAAAATCTCAAATTTAATTTGTGTAATAACTAAATTCTTCTAAATACATTTCAAGTGATTGTTTTCAGTAAAACTTTATATTTTATATGTTATTTTCTCTACCCTAACTCTATGCAAGGTTGGTCAATTTGACTGACCACGTAACAACCAAAAAAAAATTGCAATAAATCTGATTTACCCTTTTTTTCTTTCTAGAATGACTTCAAATTGTAACATGAAACTACATTCATTTATCCTAAGTATCTTTCAACTTGTAGGAGTATACATCTAATTATAATTACATTTTATTTTTTTATTGCCCTTTGAACCATGTCTAACTATTATTCGTGCCAATATAAGTTGTAAATCACTTGGGGAATGTGGAGCTCGCCTTCCTCTATTGAATTACATTACCCACGAGCTGCTCATGTGGGTGCCTCATGAAACATTTTTGTTATATTATTATTATTATTTATTTTACCTAATCTAACTTTAACAAACATAAAGAGAACCCTATTTTTACCTTTTAGTTGCTTTTATAATAATAAATAAAGAATAAATGTGAAATAAAGTCCTTACCCGAGTCTTCTTTTTTCTTGCTGTTGATCGTTGATGACACTTTTTTATACTAATGGTAGTAATGCGTTAAATAATTTTTATTTAATTAAATAATGCACCAAAGAACATAGAATAATAACATGTAAAAAGCAGACAATTTACCCTAACTATCTTAATTTTTCTGGCTTTCTAACTATGTGATAAGAGCCATTATAAAATCATCCAAGCTAGTTGTTATCTTTACTGTGGGAATGAAGCTTATACTAACAGTGAAATTGACAATTCGCCATTCAGAAAACAACGTAATATAATGTCATTTGATAGATGAAAACCTTGGCTTTCTATTGGTTGTAGATAGTACAGAAGTAAACATAAGAGAGAACTATTAACAAATCCTGAAAGAGAGGATGTGACAGGTGGGTGTGGCAAGAGGGGTGTGATTTTCTATTTGATGGCTCTGTAACCAAACAAAATTGAAGGCTTTAAAAATTATAGTTTGTTTGAGCAATGATGATTTTATTGTGAGTAATTTACATCGAATTTCATACTCATTGGAGGGGTGATGGATAAAATAAAGAAAAGAAGATGCCTAAAGAAAATGTTTCATGTGTCACACTAGGTGAAATTCAGGATTTTTTTAAATATTGCCTTGTAGAATTAAGAACTTAAAACTTATATACTATCAAAAT